ACCAAATAATTATTATACAAGAAAAAAATATATAATAATAATCCTGAGCGTCTTGTCGCTTAACCATGCTAGGTTCAAATGATTTTGGATGACAAGCTGTCGTTGAAAATTTTGCTAAGAAAATTTACTAAAATATTGTTATAAATCATTTATGCCTACTTCTATTAGGGTTCCTTGATACGAAACTTAGCTTTCATAGCCCTTTCTTCTGCTTCTTCAGGGGATATTTCAGATGCTATCAGGCGTTTATATAGTCCAATTCGCCAATGTCTATATGGGAGGGTTCGAATTCTATCAAGTAAGATCCAACGCTTATTATCATATGGATTTAACTCTATCTTATTTACTCTTTCCAGATATATTTGATGGTCATAACTGCGAAGACCATACATATCATGTCGGGTTAGCTTTCTAGTCCTTAGACATTCTAGAAATTTATCATATCGAAGCTCTCTTTTGACCACGCATTTCTTAACATCCTTTGCCTTTTGGATGCAATGCTTCTTTTTAGGATCTTCAGAATCTGAATCATTGGGAGTTTTAGAATCATGACCTGCTGGAAGGACTGAATACATCTTTGGCTTTAAATATACTGATTCGCCTATTGGATTTCCCTTTGTCTCATTCTTCATCAGGAATAAGTCACCTGAATAATCAAGATCGAAAATGTTTGGCCTTTCTGCTCGATCTTTATATATGTCCTCAGTTTCAATAAACATGATAAGTGAGTCTGTATCAGTATATAGTAAACGGGCCTTATCTCCATAACGAGGCTTTATGTAACTATATCAAAAGTTGAACATCATGGCCTTGCTAATATCGAGAATTGCCTACTCTACATAGATTGGCTTATTAGAGTCACTGTGCCTTTTAACATATGTACAGCTATTATGCCTCCCTCAAAAGCTTTAAAGCCCACATATAATGGTGAACTTGCTAGACGTTTGATTTTTTTATCCTCATTTGTACGAAGTAGCTCTACTCTCATATGCTTGTGAACATTCTCTGTCTGTTTACCAAAGACGGCATTGTTCTTTAACTTATAATATATAACCCCAAACTTGTCTCCATTAGCTTTAGCTATTTTGCACTTGCGAATGTTTTCCTCAATATAGTTTTTCATTCAGGAAGACTGTCGGAATTTAAGAGCATCATGAATCTTTATAATTTTCATTCCAAACTTCATATATGTTTGAAGAGCTTGATAATGCACTACATAATTCTTCTTAGGATAAAGAGTCTGAAGTAACTTCTCTCTGGACACATATTTTTTATTTCCAACTTCTTTATCATTTACTAATCTTTTGTTATATAGGCTAAGCCAGTTTTCTGGTACTATCTGCTTTTCCGGTATTAGAGGATAATCTGCAAAGAAGTCATGTAAATGCACTGGGGCCTCTAAATCAACTTCTAACATATAACCTATTTCTGCATCTGGTGTAATGCTTTGTATATTGGGATTTCTTCTGGACTTACCTTGCCCAAAATCTCTGTAGGCATATTTTGAGTCATTGCATCTTAATATAAAGCGTTCATATCTTCATACATGATCCAGAACTTTGGCTTATTGGACTCATAGTCTGAACATTGTGGATTATTTGCTTTGGCATATCGATGACTTACTATTGTCATTCCTCCATGTATACCATTCTCGACTATTAGATATTTATCCATATCTGTCATGAGTTTGAGCTCTGCATTACTGCTCTTATATAATAAATCATTGAATATCCCTGATGCAGAGACATAGTGAGAAGGATCTAAACTATCATCTTGCAGGCACATGATAGTGTAGTTCATGAAAACATCCGCAAGTAAAAGTACATCAATTTCAAGATAAAGGTCATGATATTCTCCAAAGTTCTTCATCTCGAATACTTGCCATACCTTTTGAGCATGTTCATAATC